GCACAACTTTAACCTTTCAAAAATAGAACTCTGCAACTCTTACCTGTTCATCCTACAATTTGTTCTCTCCATTGCATTTCTCTTTCATTTTAAAGGCTAATCATCCCAGTTGCTTAAGTCCAAGATACTCTAACTATCTGGGATATACTTACCCATAATATCTGTTGTCAAAGTTCTTTTCTTTCAGGATTTAATGCAATTTCCATTCTTCTGTATCTCTTTAGTAAAAAATAATCCCTTTCTCCTATAGCCTCATAGCACTCTATAATTCTTTCAAATTTGTTTCCTTTATTGATTCTAAAGAGAGGGGCAGGGAGGGAGAAAGAGAAGAGAAACATTGACATGAGAGAGAAACATTGATTGGTTGCCTCCTGCATGCACCCCGACTGGGGACTGAAGCTGCAACACATGTACATGCCCTGACTGGAATTCAAACCTGTGACCTTCTGGTCTGCAGAATGATGCCCAACCAACTGAGCCACATCAGCCAGGGCATACTCTAATTTTGGCACAATCTCCTTTGTATTAAATTCTGTATCCCTTGATTTGCTTACAGATTACATGAACACCTGCTATATCACATATTAGTTATTCTCCATATTTTTATTTAATTATCATACTACCCATTTCAAAGATGGAAAAAAAAATTAAAGCTATTTCCTCATCTGCAGAAGAAACAGCTCTAAATCCAAAAGGAATCCTTAATATCTTAAGTACTGGGTTGGCCAAATGTCTGTTTAGTTTTTTCTGTAAAACAAGACACATTTTTCATTTTCACCAGTAACTTTATTGATTTGGATATTTTGAGTATGTCAGCTATCTCCTACATGGTATAAAGTTGATTGTTCTAAATTAATATCTCAATTTGATTGCTATCAACTTCAACTTGTCTACTTGACCATGGAGCATTGCCTAGCAAGAATACTCCAGCATGTAACTTCGCAAATCTCTTTTTACATGTTTGATCAGTCATAGCACCTTTGTTTTGTTTTGTTTTGTTTTGTTTTGCATTTCAGTTGCATTTTTACCTTTCTTGAAATAATAAATCATGATATTCCAAAAATGTTGCATATTTTCTTCCATCTTCAATATTAAGAGGCTACACAAACATTCACCAATTTTGATGTGGTTTTTTAATGCATGCTGATATGATGGCTGTCAGAATACAATCTAACAAAATTGTTTTGAATGAAGTTGAAGACAGCTAAGTGCTACTAGAGCCATCTTACAGAAAAAAAAACCCCACCAAAACAAATGAACTTTTGCCTAACCCATTGCCTATCAAATATCAGCTTAATAAATATATTTTTACTTTGGCATTTTAGCAAAGTGTCTGATATGCACTAAATATTCAGTAAGTGTTTGTTGAAGTGAATTGAGATAAAATTTCATGAAAACCTTTAGGGTGTTCATTTTGTAATGGTGCATTTTTGAAGATTACGTTTGGTTTATATTTTTATCTTATATATATATTTACAGTGGTATAGGGTAAAGACAAAAATTTATTATACTTTATTCCTCCCCAGACCACTAGAAGGAAATAAACAGCACTTATCAGGTACTGGCAGCAAACCTGATGTCAACATTTTTCAAGAGAAATTTCCACAAAAGGGGAAAAGACATATAATTGTCAATGAGCAAATCTTCATAAGGTACTTACTGCCTGTTTGAAAATGCTTTATAAATTGCAGGACAGTTTATAGTTGTGAGATAGTCTCACTACTTTGGTGACTACTAACTAGCACTACCACGATTATCATATGGCTCTATGCTTGTGCTATAAATTATAAAAATAAATATATTTTGGAAATTAAAGTCTAGCTTAGTAGGAATGTGATAAAGCATATCAGATAAAACTCATTAGGAACATAACAGTAACAATATTAGTTTTATGAATTCTGTAACAATTAACATTAGGAACCAGAAGCCTCTCCTAAGAGGAAGTAGAGAAGGACTTCAAAAAAATAGAGTTTAGGATGATTTTAAAGAAGAAGTAAGGGGCGTAAGGATCACCTCTGCATTGACTATTACAATAATCTTTCTTCAGGAGGTGAGAGGAACAAATCATGGCTGGGGAAACCCTGGTAAGAAAACAGTAATAAAAAAATTAAAATCCATGTAAATATTTACAATAGCCCAGGGGTAGAAGCAACCCAACTATCCATCAACTGATGAATGGGTAAACAAGATGTGGTATTTGTATACATACAATGAAATATTACTCAGCTTGAAAAGGAAGGAAATTTTGACACAGACTACAACTTGGATGAATTTGTGGACATTACGATAAGGAATAAGCCAGACACAAAAGGACCAATACTGTACAATTTCAGTGGTATGAGGTACCTAGTGTAGTCAAGTTAATGGAAACCAAAAGAACATTGGTGGCCAGAAGCTGGGTGGAAACAGGGAGCTGGTATTTAGCAGATAGAATTCAGTTTGGGAAGATGAAAAAGCTCTGGGGATGGAAAACAGTGATGACTGCACAACCATGTGAATGTACTTAATGCCACTAATTTGCACACTTAAAAGTGGTTAAAGTGGAAAATTTTATTATACATATTTTACCATAATTGAAAAATGAAAGTAAAAAAATATTTAAAAAAAATCTAGTGATGTCTTATTATAAGGGAGGGTTTGTGTGGCCTTAGTCATGTCCTGTTAGAAACACTGTCATAGATTCTGTTAAAAACATTATGGTCTAACTACCAGCAGTGCTGAGAAGCTGACTCGGGGTCTTGTTTCCTTAGAAAATACAAAGTTAAGATAAATGTGGAATGCTGTCTGAAGACCTTTTATCTGAATCTCTGCCTCTGGGTTGGACACAGAGGCAGTTTCTTGGTGTCTGAGTGACCTACATGGCTCAGATTCTTTAAATAAGAGATGTTCTATTCTCACTGAAATAACATCAAATAGCAACATTTCTCATTGTCTATTATGATTTTTAAAGAGCAAGATTTCTTGGTCATATACCCTAGATGTTAATTAACAATGGCAATTTTTATAGGCTCAAAACAGATTTGAAAAAAGAAAGTCTCAGAGTGGTGTAGCTTTGAGATAAATTCTGTTAAGAGAGGAAACAGGAAAGAAATGATTGAGTCCACTGTGGGACAAGGCTGCTTTCAGATTCTAGGGTTCCATTTTCTTGAGTCTGTCCTCTCCCTTATTTATTAGGTTTGGAGTTGTCAACTTGGTGCATACAATGCACTGCTTTGGGACATTAATAGTTAAGATTAGTAATCTAATGATATTACACACAAGAACCAATAAACTATAAATCTTTTTATATTATAATGCCATTCCATATGAAAACCAATAAGCTGTAAATCTTACATTATAATGCCATTCACCTAAAATGTCTTTATTTTTATAATGAAGTACATTACTATGAAAACTGAAGTTTCAGAAATGTCTATGCGTAATTTTGATTATCCAATATTTTAAAATTACGTTAATAAATTTTCAGGATATAAATTTTAAAATGTAAATAACGTTTTGTAAGTTGTAATTTGTAATAATACTAATGTTCCAGTAGGAACTTTGAAAATTTCTTTGACATTTTAAAGTAATAATAATACTTTAGGAGAATGATGAAAAACCTGATTGATAAAAGGTTATATACTTCAACTAAATCTACTGTACATGAATGAAGTTTAAATAACAATTGCCCTGGCTGGGTAGCTCAATTGGTTAGTACCTTGTGCTCATACCCTAAGGCTGTGGGTTCCATTCTAGGTCAGAGCACATACAAGAGTCAACCAATGAATGCATAAATAAGTGGAACAACAAATGCATGTTTCTCTTTCTCTCTCCCTTTCTCTCTCTGTTTCTAAAATCAATAAATAAAAATGTTAAAGAACTAAGGAAAAACTAAAAAAGAAATGTAGACTTTTTCTTATAAAGTGGCTACAAATAACACCCTATAATAAAACAATGCGAGTCAAAAGATAATGCAGTTAAAATATACACACATCCCGCATAATAAAGTCTTTATACTGTATGTACATAATCTGTGCACACAATTTGATGACTCTTCAAATAGAATTTCTCTGCACCTGGGCTGGTGGTGGGTTGGGTAGAACAAAGGAGTTGAAGGTGAAATGCTGTACATCACATTACTCGTACAGGCTGATTAGGCAACAAAGTTTCTCTCACAAAACCAGCTCACCAGGCTCTGTAATAAGTGGCGAAACCACTTTCAGAAAATATACATAGAAGATATAATGCCAGGCTGAAACTGATGCTTGTGACAAACTTGCACTGTACACAAATTTGCTACTGAGTAACCAAGATTTAAGAGACTTGAAAGGTCCTGTTGGTGGCCATCTTTACTTGTGAGAATGATGAATTAAAGGTAGTTTCATCAAAACCAAAGCAGGTTACAGAAAGGGAAGAGCTATTTTTACTTCACTTTAAGTTATATTGCTGCCTGGATTCGTTATACAAGGACCAGATTTGACTTTGAGAACTTCTGAGGGTGGACTAGCAGTCATTACCACTGATACCCAGCTGCTGAACTGAAACAGACAACATCCCTATGCAGGAAATGATGATAACACTTTGCCATAAAGAAAGGGACTTCAGCACTAATAGGCACTGGAGAGGCAGATAAGTAAAGAGTGGTGGTGGTGGTGGTGCGGCGGGGTACACAAAAGCAAAATATACATTAAAAAAAAAAACAAGATAGATAACCAGGTATTTTTCGACCAAAGTAAGGAAGTTCTTAACAGCTACGAGATTTACAACTAATTCAAACTCAGGCAACGACTCACGACACGAAAAAACTTAGTTCTGAAAAACAAGCGCGTCCAATAACATCAGAAAACACGTGGCGGGGTGGAGAAATCGGTGTCAATAACAGGCGAGACTGTAAGTCCCATCATCCCATTCGGCAGTTAAACCGGGTTGCTTAGGGCGAATCGGCGCACTGAATGCTGGGACTTGTGGTTTTTGTTCCTGCGCCTCCCTGTGGGTTTGCGACGTTTAGCGACTATCGCGCGTGCGCCAGTGCCTGCTGAGAGGTTGGGGCTGTGGCTGCTCGTGCCGGGTGATGCTAGGCGGCTCCCTCCGCTGCAGGCTGTTGGGAGGTGTGGGTGGCAGTCGCGGGTATTTCGGGGCGCGAGGTGTCTGTGAAGGTGGCGCAGCCATGGCGGCAGGGGAGAGCATGGCCCAGCGTATGGTCTGGGTGGATCTGGAGGTGAGTGAGGCCGGGGTGGAGCGGGTGGAGATCCGGGGTGGCGAGTGAGTTTTCGCGCGTGGGACCGAGTATCTAAGTCTGGCAAGAGCGAGTGGTGTCTGCGTCTCAGATGTGGCGGGTGACTGCTTCCCGGGTGTGGGCGGCATGGGGAGAGTCAGGGGGCAGATGTCCTGCGGGTTTGGGTACTGTGCTGGACTCTAGGGTTTCTTTTCAAAAGGGAGGAGTCGTCCATATGGCTGCGTTCCCCCAGCTCCGCCTAGACGGGGATCTTTCTAGCTCTGTGTCTCCTTTGAGCTTAGGGTCACAGGGATGGGCGGGAGGGGACAAAGTCTCCGCTAGACCCCCTACCCCGGCATACAGGACCCTAGGTTGTTGGAGCTAGACCGGACTCCGGAAATGACTCAGCCTTATCCGTCCTGTCACAAACCAGGAAACTGAGTCCCAGAAAGAGAATTCAGCTCACTCAAGGCAATGCTGTTAGTAAGGATCTGAATTGGGATTAGATCCCAGTTGTGTTCCCTTTAGGTTTCCCATACTCATGCCAAGGGCTCCCCTTTTCTTGAAGCCTCAGTTTTCTCACATACGAAGTGAAGGTTATAACAGTACTTTCTACATTTGCTTGTGTTGAAGGTCAAGTGGTGTAATCAATATGGAAACTTTGTAAACTCTGTAGAGATGTAGCGATGTTAGTTATCTAACTCTTTCAAAACTGAATGCTGTCAGCACTTGATTTTGCTTATTCAGCATCTGTCCTAGAGTAGGACCAGGGTGCCTGACATATAGCAAGGTTTTGGTAAATGTTTATTGAATAAATGAATAATGTTTAGTGCCTTGAGGGCTTGCGCAAGGAGCATTATTGTCTCTTCTGTCTTGGCTGTGGGATATGAATTTACCCTGCTTGAGGGAATTCCTATTAAGTAAATTTGAGGAAAATAGGCTAAAAAGATATGTGTGTTATATATTTATTTATTTTTATTACAGATGACAGGATTGGACATTGAGAAGGACCAGATTATTGAGATGGCCTGTCTGATAACTGACTCTGATCTCAACATTTTGGCTGAAGTATGTGATGCCCTGTAATATACCCATACTGTTTAGAGCGTATTGGAAATCTAAAGATTGCTTTTCTCTACCTCTTTATTTAAAAAATAAGATGAAGATACAAAGTATTGTGCTAGGTCATGCATGATAGTGTTGGTACTACAACCAAAGTAATTCATTTCAGACTAGTTATTTTTCAATAAGTGATGCCAAAAATTACAGAAACATAAATGTTGTCATTTACTGAGCACTTACTGTGTGCCAGGCACAGCTCTAAGAGCATTAATATACTCACTCTTAATCTAACCATGACTGTAAGGTAGTTATTGTTTGTTATAATCATTTTAAAAAGGAGGACATATTGGCACAGAGATGTTGGGTGATTTGCCTATGGTCACTTGACTAGTTATTGCAGGAGCCAGGAGTTTAACCCTGGCAATCTGAGTAAAGTGCCCCTAACCAGTAAGACAACCAGCTATATAGTTTCATCAAGATTGGTGAACTCATGCCATAGTTGACATCTTTCTATCATAACCTTGACCTTAACTTGACATCTTTCTATCATAACCTTGACTTTAACTCCTTTTTTCCAAGTTTTGCTTTTTCAGCTAGGACATGTGATTCTTCTGGAATTGTATTAAGATTTTAGAAAATGTGTTGATTCAGAATCATAAAATAAAATATTCTCTTGTTGATATTGGGCCTGATTAAAGTTTTAATATGTTACTTCTTTTTTAAAGACATAACTTTTTAAAAAGATTTTATTTATTTATTTTTAGAGAGGAAGGGAGGGAGAAAGAGAGAGAGAGAGAGAGAAACATCAATGTGTGGTTGCTGGGGGCCGTGGCCTGCAATCCAGGCATGTGCCCTGACTGGGAATCGAACCTGCGATGCTTTGGTTCGCAGCCCGAGCTCAATCCACTGAGCTACACCAGCCAGGGCCCTAATATGTTACTTTTAACTGAGACATTAAACATAACAAATAAAACACACCTCCTGGAACATTTAATAAGTATGTGACAACATCTGATTGGTAGAGGGTGAAATCCCTGGCCTTGAGTAACTCTCAGATTGTCAGCAGTATTTAGAGGTCCAGAGGCAGTGGGAAACTAGGGTAGGAACACAGTAGATATGTTTGGGGGAAAGACAGATCTGTTAAATAAGTTCCCAGAGGGTAGGATTGATGTGTTACTGGCACTGTATGAATTTCATAAATCTATAGTTAAGACTTACTCTCCTGGGTAGGTAAAAGGGAGAAGGGCATTTATAGATGAATCACTTTTTTCATGGAGCACCAGGCATATGTCCTGGAGTACCTCCTGGTATATCAGCTGGAGGAGAGCCATTAGACTTCATTTCTCTCATCACAGCAACTAGCTTTTTAAAAATTTTAAGTAAGTAAATTTATTTATATAAACAAAGCTGTGAGTTTTAGGTTTGTTTTATTCTGTCACTTGGCATTTAATAGGGGTGAATAGTGAAGAGAAGTGTTTGTATTTTACCAGCCCTACTTACCCTTGGCTGAAGAAGAGTTTTTTCCTTTAGACTGTTGATATAATGGTGAAATAGTGAGAGTTTAATGGACCAGTTAGTTGATATGTACCCTGGAGGAAATTTGGGTCTGTACTCACCAGCTGCAGATGAGTGCGGCATTTGTAAATAGACTCAGTCAGATGAGGATAAGGATGTTAAAAAAATGCTTAGAGGTTGTTGGCACTTATGTGTCAGTTCTGTGGAAAATAAGTTTCATTTTTGTATATGAGTCTGAGGGAAAGTGTTTTATGCTGGTAGAAGAACAAATATCCTACTCTGAAAATGTTTCTGTGCGTGGCTTGCTGGGATCTAGAATAAGTTATATAGCCTTAGATTGACAGTAGTTAACTTTTTCCATCATCGTTCGCTAGAACTGTTTTTTACAATATGAAGTTTTGGCTTTTTAAAAAATTCGTGAGCAGAGCAAATTTTTTGGTAATAGCAATCTTCTTTATGCAGATTGTTTGTTTTCTTGTTTGGTTTAAACTCCTTGTTATAGGATGTTAGGCATATTTTAGTCAAATTTTAGCCATTCCTTTTCAGTGATTGCAAACAATTTTTACCACCTTAATAGGTGATAGGATTAATAATCCTTAGATAATTACTATTACTAATCCTTAGTAATAGCCTTAGATTTATAGTATTTTTTTTTCTGGAGAGTTCAAAGAACTCTGTATCTGTAATTTCTTTTATCCTAACATCCCTTTGGGGGTAGGGGGCAGTTTATTATCTCCATTGTAGAGAAGGAGAAACTTAAGGCCAAGGTAACTTGCTTCAATGCTGCAAATTGGGCTTCTGTTACTGCTGGGACTCTATCCAAGACACTCACAGTTGAATGGTTCTATTAAATGGAGCTGAGAATTTGAAGGCCACTTTTACTTTTCATTTGTCACCAGTTACCTTTTAAAATTTTTAATATGACAATATGGTTAAAATTAACCAGTATAACTTTATCCAAAACATAGATGTAGTAAGTTATTGGTTTCTCACCCTGTTGTTCTGCCCCATAATACTCACAAAGGTTATGTGTTTTCTTGGTATTTTGTATGCATATATAAATGTATGTATTTTTTTAAAACAAATGTAAGTGAAATCATGCATGTATACCATGTTCTACAATTTGCTTTTTTCACTAGGCAGTGTAGATACTTCAAAATGAACTTAGAATCAGGGATTGGGAAGTTTTTCTAAAAAAGACCAAATATTAAATATTTTAGGATTAGAGTGTCGTATAACTCTGTTACATGTTTGTTTTATGACTCTTTACGAATGTAAAAATCACTCTTAGCTTGCTGGCAACAAAGTAGAAAAGGCCGCAGGCTGGGTTATAGTTTGTTGGCCCTTGACAGATGCCTATTTCTTCTCTTAATGAGCATTTCAGTTTTCAGTTGTGTGTGTGTATAATAAAAATTTTTGCGCGTGTTCATTTATTCTTTTTTGCCGTTATAAACAGTGCTAGAATAAATGAGGAACACTTTCAGAGTTAAAAATGTGCCCTCATCTCTTCCTTTCTCTGGTATATATATTTAATCTTTAAAGCAGCTTAAACTTTACCTCAGAAACAAAGGTTATCCCTGTTGCTTCTGGATGACTAATGGCTTTTCCCATCCACAGGGTCCTAACCTGATAATAAAACAGCCAGATGAGTTACTGGACAGCATGTCAGATTGGTGTAAGGAGCATCATGGGAAGGTAACATTACCAAATAGCAGGATTCCTGCCCTGAGGCTTAGTAAGACACCCAAATCCTGTACCGTTGTTGAATGGTATTTTACAAAGAGTTAAGGGACGACTGCTTGGCCAGCCTGGGAAAGTGATTTTTTGTTTACTTTTCGTCTTTGGGACCTCTCAAGATCATCGTCCCTTGATGTCTTCTTTTTCCCTCTTCTACATTCAGTCTGTTGAGACCACATTGTGGATTGTCAAGTATTGCTCAAATCAGTCTTTTGGATAAGGTCAGATAGACATCAGAGAAGAGGGAATGCTGCTCTCCTGGTAATAGTTGTTTCTTCCCAGAGATTATATCCTGTGACTTTAAGTACCACCTTTTTGGCTGGAAATACTATTAACAATCAGAAACATAGCTTATTTAATTTGTATTCTTAAGGAAAAAACAATCTGCAAAGATGGTAGTTTCAGTTTGAACTTGGGCTCTATAAATGGTCTATTTATGGTTACATTTGCTTATTTTAGAAGTGCGGTTTACTTCTGATGCCTTTGAAAACTGACTTCATGTGTTTCTGGTGGGGGCTGGGGATTCTTTCTTGCAGTCTGGTCTAACCAAAGCAGTGAAGGAGAGTACAATGACATTGCAGCAGGCAGAATACGAGTTTCTATCCTTTGTACGACAGCAAACTCCTCCAGGGCTCTGTCCACTTGCAGGTAAAATCCAGTCCTTTGTGTACCTTGTAGATAGTCTTCCATTGTAATGATTCAAGAGACTGCAGTTCCAAAAAGATCAGCCAAGACCTTCATGTTTTCTACTTACCTTGATTTGGATTATACATAAAACTTACGTGTGTGATTACGTGTCCTTGTATAACTTATACATGAATGTTGGGGAAATGCCCTAAACCTGACATGAGATCTGGAGTGCTCATACTAACTCAATAAAAATTTTTCTCCTTTTTATTATGGAGCATTTTTAAATGTACAGAAAAGTTGGATTTAGTAATTGTTAACCTTGTACCATGTTTGGTTTTGTAAATTGATATAGTACCTAACATTTCTTTATTGGACGTTTAAAATTAAATTGCAGGCACCATGGCACTTTATTCCTGATTACCTCATCAAGCATTTCCTGAGCGTAAGGATCTTTTTTTATGGTACCACAGTGTCATTGTCACATTTAAGATAATTAAAAATAATTCAGTGACATCAGCTGATATCCGATCTACATCCAAAATATCTCCTTGTTTTTGAACCAGGATTTAATCAAGGCTCATACATTTCATTTGGTTATTATGTCTTTATTCTTTTAATCTAAAGTGTCCATCTGTGTTTTTTATTGCATGTGACGTCTTTTTAAAGACTGCAAGCCAGTTCCTTTAAGCTTTTGAAAGCATAGCCTTGTCAGGGAAGTTAATGTTCTGTGGAGATCTGTTTGTGTTTGTATATGTAAATTGATATAGTAACTAACATTTTCCTTAAACATTCATAAAAAAGGTTTGACATTAAGTACTAGAGCATAGAATGTATACATTTTTCCCTTCACCAATGTAGCTGGTATCTATCTTACAGTTCTCATTAAAAATTTAGTGTTTTTAATATAAACTACTGTATGTAAACATGAATATGGGTATGATTTATTAAAATTGGAAGGATAATAAAGGTTTACCAACTTACGTGATTCATTAAAAGTTAAATTTTTAGTGTTAGTGGTGAGTGTTTTGTGACATTGGGAGAAAATTCGCACATCTAATTGATATAAAAAAGTAACAGATTTGTGCATTATTTTAACTATATGGAATGATAGATTTATCCTTTTGTCCAGAGAGAGATCATTTACAAATTTATATACGACTGAATACTCAGAATCTGCACATGGAACCAGATCAGATGCCCTCAAATCTGAGATGCTTTTAAGACTTGTTTGAATTAAAACAATTATCTCCATTTTAAATACAGTTTATGAATTTTTATATCCTGTTGCATACTACTAGAAATATACAGATGTGGTATACTTTATGTCTTTCTAGGAAATTCAGTTCATGCAGATAAGAAGTTTCTGGACAAATATATGCCCCAGTTCATGAAACATCTTCATTATAGAATAATTGATGTGAGCACTGTTAAGGAACTGTGCAGGTAAGGGCTCTATTTAGGAACCATTGTCTCTTTTAGTATGTTTTAACTGAGAATTTGTGTAAAGTGATTGAATAGAGCTGTAGAACTGGGAGTGCAAAATGGGTGTATAACTTCTTCATCCCATACCCACTTGGACAGGACCTTACTTTATTCTGGACTGGTGAGAATTGGAAACTGGTGAGAAATCTTCCATATCAGTTTCATTAGTCAGAAAATATATTGAACACTCATTCTGTGCCACATATAGGCCTATGTCCTGGGAACATACAGATGAAAAGCCCTTAAGTAGCTTAAAATTTAATGGGTTGACTGATGCATAAAAAACACACCCTAAAAATATACAGTTGATGACTTCTGTAATAGCAATGTGTGTGTAGAATATTGAAGGCTCAAGGGAAGGAGCAGCTAACTGCTGGAGTGGGGGCAATGGGAACACTTCATATAGGAAATAGTTTTTAAGTTGACGTTTAAAGAAGAGTGGAAGTTTTCCAGGTATTTATGTGAGGAGAGAGCATTCTAGAGAATGGGAAGAGGTGTAAAGATAGGGAGCAGGAAGATACGGATAAAACATATTCAGGGAATTACAAAGAGTTCATTAATGCTGGAGGGCAAAGCATGGGGTTGGTAAAAGTGGGGGATGAGGCCCAGTTAGGAAGGGCTTGTCTGCCATGTTAGGAGGTTGAAGTTTCACTTGTAAGGGGTGGAGTTTCTTCGGAAAGTTTAAATAGAAGAATGAGTGATGTTACTAGATCATACTGATTACAAGGTGGCAAGAAAAGAGGTAGGGAGATAAGAAAGGATAATCTTGTATCATCTTGGAGAGGGAAGAATGAGCTAGGGAAATGGAACTTGGGTGGTAGAGAGGGTATGGGATAAAGTATTTGAGAAAGTCATTTGGCTGGCATTTAGTGCTTGAATGGGGGAGTGGGGAAAAGGAAGAGATACAAAGTGATTCTAGTGTTTCTAGGTTGGGCAGGTAGGTTGATGATGGAACTGTTCAAAGATAAAAAGGAAAGCAAGAGAAAGAGCAGACTGGTAGATTGGGGAAGGGAGGTATTGAGCAGGATGGGGATATGATTTTTGTATGGTGTAATTAGAAGTAGCTGATGGATTTTTAAGTGTTGTCTCCAGCAGTCAGTTGGGTATCCATGACAGAAGCTCAGGAGAGAGCTGGGTTGGAGTTAACAGGAATCTTACGCACTGATGAGCTTACCCAAAGAAAATATTTAAGAATGAAGAGAGGACAGGGTGGAAGATAGAGGCCCAAGCAAAGAGGCAACTTGGTAGTCACAACCCAAGTGCCTTTTTTAGTTAATAGGCTGCTTACAAAATTATTCAGTGTATTTGAGACATTTGCCTTTGAGAGTTCCATTTTTGCTGTGTATAGACGCTGGTACCCAGAAGAATATGAATTTGCACCAAAGAAGGCTGCTTCTCACAGGTGAGTTTGGGTTCTTCCAGTGCTTGGCAATCTGACACGCCAGATTCCTGACTGCCTGAAACCATGTCTCTTTACCGCTCTTTTTCCTTGGGGGAAAAATAAAGGACAACTAGCATAAAAATAACTTTCTTTTACTAAGACTATCAGAAATTCTGGTCAGGATTCTAGCATTAGGGTCTTATGTCTCGATTGCAGTTTTAAAATTTCTAGATAACTTAGTAGGTATGTGTAACTGTCTAATTACTAGGTAACTGTCATTTCCTAGTAATGAGCAGTATTAATTTTCTTCCCAGCAATAATATCAACTCTTAGCCATTTAAAATAAGAACCCTTTGTGTACAGTTGTATATATAGTTAATCTAACTTGGACACTTTTTAGTTTTTTCAGATTTTTTTTTGTTTTAAACTTTAGGAACAAGTATACAAGGAATTTAATGTATTTAGTGTCCTATATTACTTTTTGATTTTCGTTGTCTTTCAGGAGGAATGTAAACTTGATGGGGGATTTAGCAGACAGCTTCTAAGGGCAGCATTTGGTTCATCCATTTACTGCACTCGTACTATGTGCCAGGAACAGTTTTAGGCAAATATAGAAAGACCATGTCCCTGCTCTAAAGAGTCTGGCATTCTTAGGTTTTTTTAAAATTGGACTTGTGTGCCCTGACTGGTATGGCTCAGTGGGTTGGGCATCTGCGGACTGAAGGGTCACTGGTTTGATTCCTGGTTGGGGCACATGCTTGGGTTGCGGGCCAGGTCCCTGGTTGGGGGGTATGCGAGAGGCAACAGATGGATGTTTCTTATGCACATTGATGTTTCTTTCCCTCTCTTCTTCCCTTCCCCTCTCTCTAAAAAAAAAAGTTAAATAGGACTTGCATGGACTATAGCACAGTAATACATGACTAGGATATCTTATCTGAAATAATCAGGACTTGATGTGTTGTTGCATTTAGAATTTTTCAGATTTTAGAAAAAGAATAGAGTACTTGTAGTGATTATTATGAATACCCTTAACAAAGTCTGATGAAGCACCCCATAATCAAAAACATTGATATTTTGCTCTGTCAGGGTGGCTAAGTTGGTTGGAACATTGTCCCATACACCAAAAGGTTGACAGTTCGATTCCTGGTCAGGCACATGCCTAGGTTGCAGGTTTGATCCCCAATCAGGGTGCGTACAGGAGGCAACTGATCGATGTTTCTCTCTCTTTCCCCCTTCCTCTCTCTCTAAAATCAATAAGTATGTCCTCAGGTAAGGATTAAAAACAAAACAAAACAAAAAAAAATTGACGTTCCTACAGTGAAATGTATGGCTATTCACTCTGAATGTTATTACGAATGACTATATATAGGCTCAAATCAAAATTGGTCAGGTTTTACACATTATGGGTTATAAAAGCACTTAAGGTTTTCAGATTTTTTTTTGGACTTCAGTATTATGAATAAGATGTGTGTACTTTGATTTAGCCAGAGGCTGTATTTTGGGTAGTTTCAACTCTACCATGTACCTAGACATGGGAAGAAAGCAAAATTGTTGCTTTAACCACGGAATAACTGTTGAAAAACTCTTACACTGAAGTTTGTGCAGTTTATTCTCTAGAAGAAACCCTTGGCCCACCATTCAGAGCTTACTGATTTACTCGTACACTGTTCTAATAATCTTGGTTACCTGAATTCTAAGACTAACAGCCTGTTGCAGGAGGAGAAAGGCTGTTAGGTGGAGGCAGGCTGCCACTGTTTATAGCACAGATTGTGGTGAGAGAGGAGCTAGACCCTCCTTCATGGTTAGGCATTGTCTGAAAATTGGTATTTATTGTGAAGACTGAGGTATGAGTTACATTCCAGTATATCAGTACATTTTGTGCAGAGATGTCATTAAGTATTGGCAGTATTTTGCAGGCTGTGTTCCATGAGCTGTTTGTTTTTCCATAGACGTGGTTAAGTTTTAGAAATACTCAGTGTATAGTACAGCCTTCTCTTGGGAATTCACAATACACATTAGTATATTAAATGCTCACAAGGAACTTCAAAAAAATGTTTAATCCAGTTTTTCTTAAACTTATTTGACTCTGAAATTCTTTTTTTTTTTTTCTTCTGTGGAACACATCACCAACTTATAGAACTGTTTTGGGAAGCTTTAATCTGTTATATAGTAGAAAAATTTTATTTATCAAACATTTTTTTAAAAGTTCTTAAACTTGCTTTACTGAAATGTTCCAGTTCTTGATGTCAGATAGTGGCATTTACATTAGTACCTATTGTTCTTAAGTTATTTATGAAAAATTATGCTTTGTAAAGTGATTATTGTCTCCTGTTCTGGGGCACTTCAATTCAGTATAGTATGTTTGCTTGTAGGGCACTTGACGACATTAGTGAAAGCATCAAAGAACTTCAGTTTTACCGAAATAACATCTTCAAGAAAAAAACAGATGAAAAGAAGAGGAAAATTATGGAAAATGGGGAAAATGAGAAGACTGTGAGTTGATGATGCCCGTTGTGCTGCCACCACTTAGTTCTCTGGAAGTATCTTCTGGTGGTTTTTTTTTTTTTTTTGTTCACACTGATTGCTTGGCAGAGCACCTTCTTTCAGTTAATTTGCATCTCCAGATTATTCAAGCAGACTGCACCTGAAATATCATTTGTCTCCTAACATGCTGTTTTCATTTATGACACAGCGGCTCGTTTGTAAGTACCAGGTCATGTCCATCCCTTGGTACAAATCCACATTTGCTTTTAGACCATCTTTTGTTTTTTTTTTTAAATAATAAAGCTAGTTCTATTGAAATGCAAACTTTTTTGTACCATCTATTCTTTAGCAGTTTATTTATTGCAAAATGATGGCTTTTTAGAACTATTATGGTTAATGTTTAAATTCTCAAAATGCCATCAGGAATGGATTAAGTTTCTTATGTGAAACAGGAAGAGAACTTGTTCTACTTTGCTTTACAAGTCAGGAACAACTTGAGATTAGATTCAGAGGAGCAAATTTGGGTTCATTGTTGTAGTTATCAAATTAACAGAGACTTGGAATAGCTACTCTTCATTACATTCAAGAAATTCAAGTAAGCCATCCAACTGAGTTTCTGTAGGTAATAACTAAGGTTTATTGAGTAGACACCTGCAGGACTGTCACTGTGCTAGGTATATAGAACTTAAATGGGTGGCTGCAGTTCTCATGGTCAGTAAGTATTTGAGAAAGGATTTCAGTTTGATTATTTTAACTCCTAAATTTATGTATCTCAGAGCACAGTACTAAGGTGACTCCTGAGCCAGAGGGTACATTAGCATCATGTGTTTGTAGAACACATCTCATTCTTGGTATATGCCTCCTGAAGAAATCAGAATTGGGAAAGACCCACATGAGACCTGCCTTTATCTTACAGAACCACTGGACTGAAAAACTGCTGTAGTGAACTCAACTGACATTTCTGACTCTGTTATAGCCATTATGTGAACATTAGCAGTGTGATCCTATTGTGTAGGAGTTACAGATACAGAAATAATTAGACTGTAGATCAGAATTATCTCATAATTTTATTTACTAAGTTGTTTTACTTCTACAACATCCTCATGAGTGGAGAGAGACTTTAATATAACTTTTTCCAAATGTGTTCTTTTAAGGCTCAAACTCACAAGCGTAGTATGTGTGAATTGATGAAAACATAAGTCTGCTGACTTTTCTGACCATTTGAAATGGCATGGGTTTTTAAATTATTCCCACTTCAGTGGTTTGGAAGACAAGAGTGTATAATAGTTAACAACGGGGCTCTGAGGTAAACTCGGGGTTCACGTCTGAGGTCCATACATACTGAGACATACTGAGTTACTTTGGTAAGTTCACTTTTCTAAGCCTCAGTTTTCTTATCTATAAAATGAGAATGATTGCATCTCAAAGAATTGTTAGAAATAAATTAAATACTACTCACTTAGTAGTATACTTCTGAACTCAGTGCTTGGTACAGTGAGCACCCTATTGTGATAGCCAAGGCATAATGATAATGGATTAACTCAGTCTGGGACCCTCCAGGAAGGGTACTATGATGGATTGGCTGTGCTGGCTGGGGGCGTTACTTTAAGTCAGTGTTCACTTAATGCCTATGACTATATGATGCTGAGGACTGTTTTAAAAACTTCACTAATGGTGTGACCTTGATTGGCTTAGTGCTTTTCACTAAAATTTGGCAGGAGAGTCTTTGTCCTTAGTTGGCTCTCAGGAATGTTACAAATTCTGATGCAAGAAAAGATATGAAAACACTGGGCTTGCGAAAGAGGTTCATAGGAAGCGGATGTTACTCTTGCTGCTGTAGGACCTCTCCCACACAGCTGGCCTGTTTATTCATCAGATCAACTGAGCCCTACCATTTATTTTTCTTAAGAATTTTAACTCCTGCTGTTCATTTTAAATCTTCTGTTATGTGAGTGGCCAGCTTATTGATTAAATTTTATCTTTTGTGTATTCATTGTGTAGCAGAATCCTCTGTTACCCCTAATGGAGCATGTGTTAATTTTTAGTAAAATAATTGGTAGCCGGTGTGATAAGCAAATCTGATCTGATGCAAATCTGTATGAAGACATGATGGTTCAGTGATTAATTCAGTATTAGTTTGCTCACAAATAAGAAATAGAAATTTGTAGTAACTATGATTTCACAGGGGATTCCTGAAGCTATGAAGTGATTTCTTTGAAATGAACTGTAGTGCAAGTTGGTTTAAATACAACCCGAGCCTTAAAAATGATCAGTGTGTTTGTTTAGCAGAGGTTACCATCCAGTGCTCCTGGGGGCTTTTCATTCAGTGGTTCCTTTTGTCTGTGCTGTAATTATCCTGTAAACTATATTCTTAGGATCATCCAGGTGTTTTTTTCCCCTGCATTAACTCACAAGGTGAGTGAATCTACTGTGAGGAGAGTCTCCAGTCAGTGTTCCTCGAGTGCTTACGATTATCTAGCCATTGTACTGAGTTGTGGGCAACAAAGTTGCTCTTTTCTCAGCAGCTTAGCCATGGGAGATAGGAATGGAACTTGAGACACCTGGCCTTTTTCATTTACCAAACAATATATCCCTTTATTAATAAACCAGCTGACAAATTCATGATAAAATTGATAGTTTAATTTGGTAGACCTAGTGTTCCTATATCTGTGAGCCTTAAGGTAAAGAATAGCTTGGTTGTTACTAGATACAACCTCTATAGCAGATTAATTAGAATAAAAGCTATTATATTACTATATTCTATGTTATTGATGAGGCAAAAGCTACTGTGCTATCTCTTGATACTATGTTTCTATTGTGAAAAATAATTGGTTTTAATTATTTGAACAGAGCTTTTTATGTGGCTTTTTTTTCCTCCCTTGACCTGCCACTTTTAGGACCCCTGGTGAAACCATAGCCATGCTGGTAATGTGAATAAAGAGCTCCTCTTGTTGAGTATTTTCTATTGAATAGAGAGATTTTCTAAGAGGATAGATCTTAAGTCTTCTCAACACACACACACATACATACACACAAGGGTAACTATTAAGATGATGGACAAGTTAATTAACTTGATGGTGATATTTTTTCACAATATACACATTCACATAAATTCATTAAGTTGTACACCTTAAATATATTTTTGTATGTTAAAGATATCAGTAAAGTTATTAATATGTGTTTAAAACACTGCTAAAGGGAATTGATTAGAAGTCTTTTCTTTTTTTCAGTATTTTTTATTGATTATGCTATTACAGTTGTCCCATTTTTTTCTCCCCTTAATTCCCCTCTGCCCTCCATTCCACCTCCCTCTAGCTTTCCCCCCACCTTAGTTCATGTCCGTGGGTTGTACATACAAGTTCTTTGGCTTCTCCATTTCCTATATTGTTAACCTGCCCCTGTCTCATTTTCTACCTACCATTTATGCTTTATATTCCCTGTACCTTTCACCCCCATCCTCCCCCCATCTCTTTCTGCTGATAACCCTCCATATGATCTCCATTTCTAATCCTGTTCCTGTTCTAGTTTGCTTAGTTTTTGTTTTTGTTTTTTTAGGTTCAGTTGTTGATAGTCATGAGTTTGTCGTCATTTTACTGTTCATATTTTTTATCTTCTTTTTCTTAGATAAATCTCTTTAACATTTCATATAGTAAGGGCTTGGTGATGATGAACTCCTTTAACTTGACCTTATCTGGGAAGCACTTGATCTGCCCTTCCATTCCAAATGATAGCTTTGCTGGATAGAGTCATCTTGGATAGAGGTCCTTGCCTTTCATGACTTGGAATACTTCTTTCCAGTCCCTTCTTGCCTGTAAGATTTCTTTTGAGAAGTCAGCAGATGGCATTGTGGGAACTCCTTTGTAGGTCACTGTCACTTTTTCTCTTGCTGCATTTAATATTCTCTCCTTATCTTTAATCTTGGGTAATTAATTATGATGTACCTTGATGTGTGCTTCCTTGGGTCCAACTTCTTTGGTACTCTCTGAGCTTCCTGGACTTCCTGGAAGTCTATTTCCTTTACCAGATTAGGGAGGTTCTCCTTCATTATGTTTTCAAATAACTTTTCAATTTCTTGCTCTTCCTCTTCTGGCACCCCTGTAATTTGGATGTTGGAATGTTTAAAGTTGTCCCAGAGGTTCCTAAGCCTCTCCTCATTTTTTTGAATTCCTGTTTCTTCATTTTGTTCCAGTTGGATGTTTATTTTTTCTTTCTATTCCAAACCATTGATTTGAGTCCTGGTTTCTCTCCCTTCACTGTTGGTTCCCTGTATATTTTGCTTTATTTCAGTTTGTATAACATTCATTTCTCCCTTCATTTTTCAACCATACTCAACCATTTCTGTGAGGTTCCTGATTACCAGTGTTTTGAACTCTGCATCTGATAGGTTATCTATCTCCTCATCACTTAGTTCTTTTTCTGGAGCTTTGATCTGTTCTTTCATTTGGGCCATATTCCTTTGTCTTGATGTACCTGTTATGTTATAAGGGGTGGAGCCTTAGGTATTTGCCAGGGTGGGACAATCCATGTTGCTTCATTGTGGCACTGTATGTAGGGTAGGGGTCAGAGAGGGAACAATGCCACTTGCTTGGCTTTTGCCTCACTTCTTCTCTTCCCTCCTTTCACACAAGTGGATTGTGCTCTTTCTAGTGCAGATTCTCAGGTGGGTGGGCTCTGTACATTCTGGGACCCTGTGGGCCCCTCTAGTGAACTCTCTTGTGAGACTGGGAGTTTCTCCTGCCATGATAACTCCCACAGGTTTTTACAGCCAGAGGTCTTGAGGCTTTTAGCTTCCTGTGCTGGAACCCTGGATTTCGTGGTTTGTCTTGCTCCCTAGTTGTTCCTCTCAACCTATCCACACACAAATGTGGGACTGCTTGGTCTGCCAGCTGCTGCCTTGTTGTGTACTCTCCACCCTGGCTGCCCATCTCCACCAGTCTGGATGAATGTTTCTTCTTTAATTCCTTGATTGTCAGATTTTCATACAGTTTAATTTTCTGACAATTCTGGTGTTTTGTTTTTTTTAAATTGATTGTTACCCTTTTTTTGGTTGTGCGAGGAAGTGAAGCGTATCTACCTATGCCTTTATCTTGGCTGGAATGAAGAAGTCTTAATTCTACCAGAATGCAGGCAGATACATTAGTTACTTTCATAACTGACTTGTCAATTTGAATCTATATGACCTATGACTTGGTCTTCAGGATAATTTAGTCCATTTAGTTTTGTACCTGGGTTATAAAACTGCTGCTATTCTATGATGCAGAACACATGAGTCTTTCATTAAAAATAAGCCCTAGAAAATTGGAAGGTTGAGAGTGGGGAGCAAA